CGAGTGATGCGTGATGTCAAGGACTCTGTCAAGAGAGTCACATTTTAGTGAAGAAAAGTTAATTTCAATCAATATTTACATCAGTAAATAGAGATTAAGAAAATATTTCCAGATTTGACAATTAGGATTTCATTTTGGACCACTAAGAGGACAGATATACTTTGTATTAATCTGAAATTTTAAAAAAGGATAGATATTGGAGTTATTTTGAAAAAAAAAAAAAAAGAAGTTGCATACAGTTAAGGAATAAGAGATAAGAAAATAGAGGTAGCCTGAGTAGTCTTCTTTCTGAGAAATTTACCCACTGTAGGCACGCAAGCCAAACCAAGATATACTCAGAAATGTCATGATTTAAGAAATTTCTTTTAAGTTGAAGGAGTACATTGAAAAAGTAGAAGGGATATATTTAAAGATGTAAGAGTAATTACTGACAAAAAGATGATGAAATCATAGATGGATATTGATGAAATCATAGAGATTAAAGGATGATATTTAATGAAGGGGGAATGGAATAGAAAAGGATAGAATAAACTAGAATGGATTAATTAGAGTAGAACAGAATAGAGCGAGGGACACCGTTTACAAACAACAAGGAAGACCAGGGATAGTTGAAGGTATCCCTGAAGGATATTTAGTGTTTCTATTTTGGATGACGTCAATGTCTTTAGTAAAAAAGAGCCAGTGTTCTGGTCTGTTGACAGTTAAGAATGGACATGGGTTTCAGGGTAAAGGAGAGCGGTGAAGTCTCAGAACAGCTGCTTAGGACATAAAATAGGGATTTTAAAATGACGAAAGCTAATTTTCATCCCTGCCACCTTCCACACCAACTAAACTGTTCCTTCCTTCTTATTTGGAGTATTTTTCAAGTGTTAGAATAAGAGGTCTATAAAGTATATCTTATATAATAAACGATGTGTATATTGTATATCCGATGATGTGTATCAACTTTAAAAAAACTGATTGGTACTTTATACTCAGCACGTCTAGTAGTGCCTAATACATCATAAGCATTCAGTAAGTATTTATTGAATATAAGAATAAGCAGATGAATGGATCAGAAGTTTTATGACACTATTTCTTGCAACTCAGGAATGAAAAAAGGGTAAAATATTCAGAGGGCTAGTTTCATGGGCGTGTGACCAGAGCAGTTGCCAGGCCCAGTTTTTAGAAGGGCCTCAAGCTTGATTTACCACGTCGCTGTCAACGTCTGGTATTTCCTAATAATTTTTTTTATGAAGCTCGCATATTTACATTACAGCGGACCCTGTGTATTCTATAGCTAGTCTTCAGGGTGCAGTTTGGCTTACCTAGTTTGAAAGGCTGGCAAAATGAAAGCAGTGTAAAGACAAGGTTGAAGATTTCATAAGTAGGAATATGGGTGTTAAATTTCGCAAATAAAAATGCAGAACACCCAAGTTAAATTTGGATTTCTCTGTATTGCGTGGGACATACGATACTTAAAAGCCGTTTGTGGTTTATTAGAAATTCAAATTTAATGCATGTCCTACATCTTTTCTGGCAGCCATAGTAGAAATAAGTATGTCACCGAAATGGCTCACTGTTGATTCTAGGCAGCTTAAGCAGATGAGTCAAGGCCAGAGCCTGTGAAAGCCTGAAGGATAGGTACTCAAAGCAAGATTGAAGGAACAGTTTAATGGGAGTGGAAACGTGTGTGTGAAGGAATAAGATTGGCCAGTGAAGGTGAATTCAGAGCGTTGAACCTGAGCTAGAAAGAGCTATTCTGAGTGATAAATTCTAAGGCGGTATCATGCCAGAAAGGAGTTTCAAGTTGAATGGGGGTAGACAGCGCCAGACTTAAGAATTTTAAGCACAATCAAAGCCAATATGCTATAAGGGTCATGTATGTGCATATTTGAATCATCTACAGTCACAAATGGTAGGAGGCATGGTAGAGAGAATAACTGAATTAGTTATTAAATTGATCAAAGCAATTTATCAATAAAAAAATGTCTTTGCAAGTCAGAGGGGTTAGGGAGAGGAGAATGTAATTCTGTTACAGCCACCTAATACATGTAATGCATTTCAACTACGTGTGTTAAAAACAGCATTTTCTTCAATGATATACATATTTAAATTCACTAATATAGTTGAGTAAGTATAAAAGCTCGTGAAAATCCAGTTAGAACTTGTTTTTATGTTAGGAGTTTAATTATGTGATATATACTATACCATATTTTTAAAGAGTATAGCATGCATCAAATATAAGATATGATTCTATAATAATTATTTTCTTCTTGAGTTTGGGCCTTGTTTTTGTCAATGGCTCATTGAAGTGCCTTGTAAACCAGTGAGTTTATAAAATCATTGGAGGAATTTTACATGTGAGTATCATAATGAAAATTTCTGGTACCTCTGAAGAAGGTTATACAAGGGAGCTACTACTGATAATATTCATGAAATCTTTAAGAGCATCATTTTGTAAATAATGTCAGTCTGAAGACAAATGTGACAGGATAACTCATAATTTGTAAAATCGTTCAAATATAACACTACAGTTTGCATTAATGAAATTTGAAAAATGCCTCGTGACCCTTTGTAATTATATTGGTGATTCTAAAGCAAAATAATCTCTTTTTTTTTTTTCTGATTTACATTGAAAAGCAAAAAGAGAAGCCAAGATCATTTTTAAAGACAATTGTAAACATCTAGCTGTCATCTTCTTTGCTTATGTTCATAGTTTAATTTTTAAAAAAGAGATGATAAGAGCTTTTAGTTGACAAGAAAAAGAATGAAATATTGCCCCGTGGTAACAGTGTGGATGAACCACAAAAACATTATGTAAAGTGAAAAGCCAGGTACAAAGAGCCCATCCTGGGGGCCTCCATTGATTTTGTTATTAGTCTAGTGAAATCTAAGGAGGACGTAGTAGATTGGTTTCTGCCTGGGAATAAGTGTGCAAATGGTGAGTGACTGAAGTGCACCAGGGATCGTTTAATGGGATGGAAATAATCTAAAACTGGAAGGTGGTGCAGGCCAGACAACTCTGCAAATTCACTAAAAATCATTGTTCACATAAAACAAGTGAATTTTATGGTAGGTAAATTACATCTGAATAAATCGTTGAAAAGAAAACCATAGCTGCTGTATAATGTATACTGTAAATGCATAACATTGAAATAAGTGAGTAAAAGAAAGCAGAAATTTTATAATAGAGTTAGGCAGCAGCTGGGTGGGATTAGATTTCTTCAGAGGCATAGTCTGGCAGAGCCCCAGCATCAGGCTTCTTTTAGGCCACTTTTCTAGCAGCTAAACCAGCACACTTCAGCCAGGTAAAAGTGCACGAGTGTGTGTGTACACCTAACATCGGCTTAATACAGTTACCGTTCTTCCTATCGGCAGTTTGCATATAGATTATGTTTTTCTCTGGGAATAGAATCGGATGAATTGCTCTTTAATTGGGGAGAAATTCATTACAGATTCTGTGTTAGTTGTCACAGGGGTGACTTTGATGTTTATATAAGCTTTTCACGGGAGTGAAAAACGACCAAAGTACCCAAGAATGAAGATGAGCCAATAATGAATGAGCTTGCTAAACTGGCCTGTTGTTTAAAGAGAGCTGTAATTTTCCTAGAGCCATTACCATTTAAAAAAAAAAAATCAATGGAAACAAAAAGATAAATGTGGAATGGAGAACACAGTGATGCCTATGAACTCTGTGGGGTTTTAGGTTACTGCTAGGCGATATTAATCTTTAAATTGCATTACCACATTCCAATGGCAATTCTATCATTTTGTCCAAAATATATTTGAAAAAGAAAAGGATATATATTCCTACTTGGTAGAGCTGTGGTGTCTAAGAACTGTTTGATGCTGGAGTCAGATATGGTCCTAATTGATCCTATTTGCTTTTCCCAGCAGCCTGGGAGAGTGTTATGTTACGTTGTCTCACGGGGCATGAAATTCTCTCCACCGGAATCATTCCTTTGAATTCATCCACACAATATGATCATTATCTCCAAAGGTTCTTGGAAAAATGCCTGTGATTTGATAGCTGGCAAGTCCTTTAGCTTTTGTCAAATAGGGTGTTTTCATGTATTCTTTTAGTAAAATAGCTAGTTGTCATTTTGGAAGGTACAGAGATGGTAGTTTGGGGAGGAAGATAGTTATTTATTGGGTCAGGGAAAGTTTCTAGGTAACAGTCTTGGGAAAAGGCATTGACCAAAGATGGTAGAATTCCTGAATGTTGACCTTGGTACTGAAGAAAGTTCTAGAAATAGAGGTGGGGTTCCAGAGTGAGAATACAATTTGATAGTCTGTACTAGATATATTATTGAAAGTTTTATGAGTGATGTTGTAGTTAATACGGTAACTATGCAGAATGATTGGAGCACAAGTTAAAAACAAACAAAACATCAAAAGCTTCACCATTCACAACAGAAATGCAAAATATTTTTTGCTGAACAATACTTATTCTATTTAGACCGATAAAAATGCCAGACTTTTAAAATCAGTTATCTTTGTGTGCTGATAAATAAAAGTAAAAAATGTAAAAAACGAAATAAAGCACCAATTTTTAAACTGTACAATATATGCTCTCATGTTAATAACATTATATAGAAGTATCAAAGAACATTTTTTTAATAACAACACAGTGTTAAAACACCCAGTTAAATGGTGTAGTTTTAACAGAAATGAAAAGTGAATCCCTAGCAAATTTGAATGCCAAAGTAAACATTCTTTCAAAAATGTCTTCACAAGGCCTTAAAGTTAACATATATTTAAAAGAAGTATCCACCAAAATGGAAGATAGATCAATATTGAACAGAATCATGACACTTATAAATTTAGTTTTATTCAAATAATCCCAAATGAGATTAAGAACCACAATATGGTAGTTAGCTAAGAATTTCATTTTAGTGTGTGAACTGCTTAAAACTGCATATGTATTTTCAAAGTTAGGGAAAATACACATTAAAATAGCATCCTTTAATTGAAATGTTGAAAAGAACTTTGCAAATGTTTAGAAGAAAAAAATAATTTCATATGTGCTCCTCTGGTTGCCTAAACTTTCTCCTTTTTGGTCCTGACTCTTGACTAGAAAAATCAAAGTGATGAAGGACCATTTTCATTTTCCCAGATTCATGGAAACTTCTCTTCCGTTTTTCTTCAGAAGATTTTACTGGTTGATTTCCATTTGCCATTTTATTCTGAAAGATTTTTCCACTTCCTGTTTTGTTTTCAGATGTATCAAGTTCAGATGTTTTACTGACCAACTGCTCAATCTGAGAATGAGAAATTGGAAGATGTGGACTTTCCTTAGGCCTCCTAATTTCCTCTTTCTCACAAAATGAACTTGGTTCTCCAAGTTCAGAAGATGCAGAGTTTTTCTTCTGATCTTCCATTTTAGTTTCAATGTCAAAATCATCACAATGCTCTTGTTCATCTTGTGTATCATCATTTTTGTCCATCAGGATTTTTTGAAGTGGTGTTTTTAAGTATTTTGGTGACAGTATAGTTGAGTCAATATTTTCCATTTGTTCCTTTTCATTCGTCACTTTTACTTTGAAGGTATGAAAGGGTATTGGGACCTCTCCCACATTTAAGTACATAGGCTCCCATTCAAATATTACTCCTTCACAATCACCACCCTTAAAACCAGGAGGCTGATAGATAATGTGTGGGTATAACTTCATTGTAGTAAAAAGTTTCATAGTCAAACATTGTTAGGTAAAAGTCCCAGATTTTGCAATAGAATATAAATCTTGTAGATGAGGAGTCACTTGGATTTAGGGTCTAAAGTTAACCAGGAGAGCTAAGATGTGAACACCCTGGCAGCTCAAAGGGTGTGACAAATACTCTCTTCTTAACTTTAGTCTGACTCCTTTCAGCCCTCTTTTCAAGTAGGCCTTGACCTTGGTTCCTGTCCTGTGCTTGGCCTACCTAGTCCAATGTTAGCAACAATCCTACACTCTCACTCCCTCCTGAAAGCTCATCATCTTTTGATACCTTATCAACTTCCTTATCCCCCACATTTTATGTACATGTACTTGGCCTGTTTTCAGCAAGAATCCTGTCTGGTTACTTTAGCAAGAATGCCCCTACCCTTGATGTCTCCTCTTAGTAATTTTCTATTCATGGACCCTTTTATCCTGCTTGTTGGCTATAAATCTCCAGCTGTCCTTGCTGTGTTCAAAGTTGAACTTACCCTTTGCTTATTTGGGAAAGACTTTATTTCTCCTTCACTTATAAAGGTTAGTTTGGCAGGATACAAAATTGATGGCTAACATTTTTTTTCCTTTGAAAATATTTAACATAGGGCCTCCACCTCTCTGGGCTTGTTAGGTTTCTGCTGAGCATTCTACTGTTAGTTGGATGGGCTTTCTTTCCTTTATAAATGATCATGTATTTTTCTCTTGATGCTTTTAAAATGTTTTTCTTCACCTTGACATTAGGTATTTTTTTTTTTTTGAGACGGAGCCTCAAGCTGTCCCCCTGGGTAGAGTGCCATGGCATCACGCTCACAGCAACCTCCAACTCCTGGGCTCAAGCGAGTCTCCTGCCTCAGCCTCCCAAGTAGCTGGGACTACAGGTGCCCGCCACAATGCCTGGCCATTTTTTGGTTGTAGCCATCGTTGTTGTTTGGCGGGCCCGGGCTGGGGATTTGAACCCGCCACTTTAGGTGTATGTGGCTGGCGCCTTAGCCGGTTGAGCCACAGGCGCCGAGCCGACATTAGGTATTCTGATGACTGTATGCCTCGGTGAAGTAGGTCTTGCAATGTATCTCCCTGACGGTCACTAAGCCTTATGTATCTTGATGTCTAAATTTCTTGCAAGACCAGTAATGTTTTCTCCAATTATTTCCTCAAATATGTTTCTCCCACTTTTTCCTTTTCTTCTTCCTCAGGGATACCTATGAATCATAGGTTCATATGCTGTACATGGTCAATATTTCTCAAAAGTTTTATTCAATTCTTAAAAAAATTATTTTCTTTATTTTTGTCTGACTGGGTTAATTTGAATGACCTGTGCTTTCAACTGAATTTGTAATTCCTTCGATGAATCTTTCATTTCCAGAAGTTCTGTTTTATTTTTAAATCTCTCTCTCCCTCTCTTTTGAGAAAAGGTCTCTGTCACCCAAGCTGGAATGCAGTGATATCACTGCCACCTCAGATTCCTGGGCCCAAGCAATCTGGCCTCAGCCTCCAAAGCAGCTAGGATGACAGGCATGCACCACTCTACCTGGCTAAATTTTCTATTCTTATTGGAGAGGAGGTTTAGTTATTGTGGTCAGGCTGATCTTGAACTTCTAGCTTCAAGTGATCCTTCCACTTCTGCCACCCAAAGCACCAGGATTACAGCCGTGAACCACCACACCAGGCCTAACATCTATTTGTTAGCAATATTTTTATTCATATTCTGAATTATTTTTCTGGTTTCTTAGTGGTGGTTTTCAACTTTGTCATGAATCTATTTGAACTTCTTTACAATCCATGTTTTAAGTTCTTTATCTGTCAATTCAGGTTTTCATTTTGATTAGAATTCATTGCTAGAAAGATAGAGGGATCCTTTGGGGATATTGAAATCTGGTTTTTCATACTGCTAAAGTTCTTATGCTGATTCCTTTCCATCTAAAGAATCTGTTACTTATTTTTCAATTTCATTTTAATGGGCTTTTTAATTTTATTTTTCCCCCTGAAGGATGTGATGGTAAAGTATGTTCTGTTTGTTCATTTGGCTTCAGTTGAGAGTACTTTGAGGGAGTCAAGGCTCTCTGTGAGATCTCTAGTTACGGAAGCTTTAGTGTCTGGCTGTCTTACACGCTGGTTGTAGTATCAATGTATCAGACACAGGAGTGGGCTCGCTACCTTCTGCAGGACTGGAATTGCAGAGGTCTCAGGCAGCTGATCCATTCTCTAGCAAGGAGCCTTTGCCACATCTGGTTTTGAATTGGATTTTGTAGTTCAACCTCCAGACCAGTAGATGGGGTTTAAGAGTGAGCACCTGCTGTAAGAGAAGCTGATGGGTATGTGCTTGGGTCTCAATTGGCTCAAGGTACACTGGTTTGTGAAATTAGCGATGTCCTCTGTTCCCTGCTCAGCCCCAGAGTGGGGAACAAGGCCGAGTGAAGTTGGGCTGCCAAGCTCCCCTTTTATAACCTGATGATGAGTGAAAGCACTAGTCCTGATGAGGATGATGGGGGGGAGCTTACGGTGCAACATTTGGGTCTCTGATGGAGGAGGGAGTAGTCCCAGTCTCCACAACCGTTCCCAGGCACTGATGCCACATGTTCGCTAGGGCACAGCCGCTCTCCTCCCCTACGGAGGCCAGCCCTGTGTCCACGTCTCACCGGGGCTGGGGGCTGAGACACAGCCGCTCTCCTCCCCTTCGGAGGCCAACCCTGTGTCCACGTCTCTGCTGGGGGCTGGGGCACAGCCGCTTTCCTCTCCTACGGAGGCCAGCCCTGTGTTCATGTCCACGTCTCTGCCGGGGCTGGGGCACAGCCCCTCTCCTCTCCTACAGAGGCCAGCCCTGTGTCCACGTCTCTGCTGGGGGCTGAAGCCGCTCTCCTCTCCTACGGAGGTCAGCCCTGTGTCCATGTCTCACCGGGGCTGGGGCACAGCCGCTCTCCTCTCCTACAGAGGCCAGCCCTGTGTCCACGTCTCT